CAAAAGTGAAAATGTACACAAACAGTCGAGAAATTGCTGGGACCAGTTTCGCCTAATTTAATTAGTGATGCCGTCGTTGTGGCGACAGATATTTGAACAGCACTGATAAGTCAAGTGAACACATACAAGAATGAGAAACTAGTATGAAAATTGAAGATCTGCAACCTCGCCTATGCGTCCTCGGGAAAAAAACTTGATACTTGAGTCACCTACTAAACTAAAGAACGCAGTTTCCGGGCCGCATTACATGAATATAAAAACTTATAAGGTTACTTCCTACACTCTATCAATTGATCAGTCCTAAAACATTAATTTAATAAAGAATAATCCTTAATTATTTGATGAGTGAAAGGGGACATACCTTGTAGAAACTTGAGAAAACTGATGAAAATAAATTCCAAACTGCACTAGGTTACTAATTTAGCACAAACACTTAATAAAGTTCACAAACAGTTTATATTCGCACATGAAATTTTAGATATCACGATTATTTTTATCGCACTACCGTATGCGGCGGATGTACCTATCTCGTGAAAGACGCCATTTTGATTTCGTCAACTAACGTCTGACATAGACAATTTAATGATATCGTTCAGAAATTTAAAATTATATATATTAAAGATTAAATATTTTAAACTATCTATATTTTTGTACTTATAAAAAGCTTTTAATACATTTTTACTAATATTCAACAAATAAAAATAAAACGATTAAAAATAGTAGATAATAATAGTATACCATTTTAAATGTTTGTTTTTACAACGTTTTAAAATAGGTCGACACTTAAAATAAGAATAAAAATATACACCAGCTCACTAAAATGGCAGAAACTAAATCTTATTACTACAGTGTAAACTCTTTATAACGAATTTCAAGGGACCAAGCATTATTTTTCGTTGTAGAGAGTTTTGGTTATAGGGAGGGAAGATAAAAAACAACCAAATTTAACCAATTACAATAATTTCTATTTTTATTTCTATCAATAGGTAAATTATTCTAAACACAATACATAACATTTTTCTTTTACTGGCCATCTTGACAGTTTCAAAGTTTGTTTACGAGTGATAGGTGACGGTAGTGCGTTTAGTAACTGAGACCAAAATATCCTACAGGCAATGTAATCTAAGAATAATGGCACACGTGTTAATGCAATTAACAATAGCAAATGGAGAAACGGCTGTTTACGACCTGGTGTCTTTCTTAGAAATTTCGGCAACTCAAAAGTTATGTTTTGTAAGCTGATTATAAAAACAATTACACTCAAGTATGTTGTTGATGTCTAAAATGAAAATATTTCTTCGTTATAGAGAATGGCTGTTGCGTTGGAGCTAATATTTACGTTATAGAGAGCGTTTCGTTATAAAGAGTTTACAATGTAAAATATTCTCTCAATTAAAAGTAATTTAGGTCAGAGCACCAGTTTTATTTTAGTGTCATGAAATGTATGATAGTTCCTTAAAATTCCTTGGTTCTGACATTTTACAAGATTTAGTAGGTGACAGCATTCATAGTATTAGAATATGTTGTATATTTTTCTGAAATCCTTATTTACAACTTTAGTGAAGTAATAATGACTGATTTAGGACATTAAGTGAAGTAATTATGTCTTAAATCAGTCTTTATTAGACCTATCATTATGTAAAAAAGAGAGTGTGTGTACTTATGTACACGCGTTAGAAGTTATACTTCTTTGGCGTATGGAAAAAAAGATAACTAAAATGCAGTAGTGATTAACGATAAATATTAAAATTAATCAATAAAATTATTATTAGTAAATACTATCACCGTCGTATATGAAATTGATTTAATACACCAAAATAATATTTATTTATTCACACTGTTTAATTGTACTGTTACGAAACACGTGTTCTAAATATAAAAATACTAGAATATACAACTTGAACATAGTTATTATCGATTTTCATGCCACCTACAACTAACTTCATTCTGTTAATTTTGTGTAACGGTGCGTGCGCATCGTAAAATTTCACTCTTATCAATTTTTCATAACGCGCCTAAACAAGTATAACTTCAAAAAACATTTATTTCTAATGAGCAATGTAAGAGAAAAAAAAATATTGTTAAGCTTAATATTATGTTAAGGTAATGTCTTGCGATAAGTTGGTTTTAATTTTGATTAGCATTGATACAAAATACTAAGGAACTAAGACAACACTTTAATCTGAAAGACGACCAAATTTTCTGTAATTGTTACAAACCAATGAAAGTTAACGGTTTCTTTATTTTTCATATATGGGACTTTTACTATCCAATTACACAAGATTGTTGTTTTTATCACCAAATAATAATAATGTATTTAACTTTTAAGGGTTTTGGCAAACTTTTCTTATGACAGCTTGTTATTAATGTATTATATGGTTTATCCATGAAACAATTTTACTAATGTAACTAAACATAACAAATAAATATACAGTATTTACCATTTTCTTAACCTAATAAAAATAATTAAAAAATTAAATTAAAAAGTTAGGTATAGTCCTTTTCACGAAGAAGTCCCCAGACGCGGCGCTGCAATCGCATGACGTAAGTTGCATTATGAGTAAAAAATTTACCTATTTTATTTACATTTAGCAGATGTAATTTTTAATTTATCAAATAATACTATTTTCTGCGTACTTCGATGAAACAATATATCTGTTATGTAAAAGTATATTTTTATTTACTTATATTGCGGTGTTCTACCTACTTACAGGGAAAAGATAAGAAAATAGGGTAAAGAAAAGCAATACAATTTTTATTCAAGTTTTATTGCATAATTGTGATCAACGGCCATAGGGACATCACTGTCCGAAGAGTGTATTGAAACAGAATCAGATTCTGTTTCAGTATCACTAGCAGTTGATATAATTATTCGGTCCATCACTTCATCCATAAGGCCGTCATTTTTTAAATATTCCTCCTCTAAATGTTCGACATGCGAGCACTGAGGCGTCCATCTTCAGCCGTAATAAAGGAGACTCAAAGGCCTCTTTAGTTAATTTTAATATTTCTTTTGGATCTTGTGCCGCGTTCTTATCCGCCACCTTTCTTTTACAAGGCTCCAGATATTCTCAATCGGGTTGAGGTCAATGGTAAGGCGGCAACCTTAATACTTCGTGTCCGTGAGCTGTTAATAATTCATCCACTGCAAATATCGGTGGACCTTTATTTTGTTTGATTAGCTCATACAGCACAACTTTTGTCCAGGTGTCTTCAAAATATATACCCTTTTGCCGGAGCCACTCTTGCATACTACTTTTTATATTTGACATAGAAGGGGCTTTGTTTAATTGAGTGCAATGGTAAGGAGCGTTATCCATTACCACAAGCGACCTTTCAGGTAGATTAGGTATTAGTTTTTCCGTCCCCATTTTAAGAAATTTGCTGAGTTCATGTCATCGTGGTAATTGAGGACTTTGATTGGGATTTGAACATTAATAATGCACCATTTATGACCATTTTTGTTCCCGCATGAGCGATTTCCAGCGACTCCTGATGATTCTGAGACGAACATTCCTGGCTCCTCCTCACTCTGCCAACAACGTTTTGTATGATAAGTATTGTGTATATAGGTCTCATCTAAGTATAAACTGGTCGTTTTCCACAGTGCGATTTATTCGTATTTTATTCAAATATCTTCAGCATGGGTAATTGTGGCGTTCATAAGTAGTTTTCGTCTTTTTTTTTTTTTTTTTTTTTTTTTTTTTTTTTTTTTTTTTTTTTTTTTTTTTTTTTTTTTTTTTTTTGGTTTTTTTTTTTTTTCTCTGCGGCTTTTTTCTCCCCCTCCGTTTTTTTTTTTTTTTTTTTTGTTTTTTTTTTTTTTTTTTGTTTTTTGGGTTTTCGGCCCCCCCCCCCCCCCCCCCCCCCCCCCCCTCCGGGGGGGGGGGGTGCGGGGGGGGGGCCTCCTTTTTTTTTTTTTTTTTTTCCCCCCCCCCCCCCCTTTTTTTTTTTTTTTTTTTTTTTTTTTACCCCCCCCCCCAAAAAAAAAAAAAAAAAAAAAAAAAAAAAAAATTATTTTTTTTTTTTTTTTTTTTTTTTTTTTTTTTTTTTTTTTTTTTTTTTTTTTTTCTTTTTTTTTTTTTTTTTTTTTTTTTTAAAATTTTTTTTAATAAAAAAAAAAAAACCCCCCCCCCACCCAAAAAAAAAAAAAAAAAAAAAAAAAAAACCCCCCCAAAGGGGGGGGCCGTCCCCCCCCCCCCTCTTTTTTGGGGTTTTAAAAAAATTTTTTTTTTTTTTTTCTCCCCCCCACCCCCCCCCCCCCATTATATAAAACCCCCCCCCCCCTTCCCCCTTTTAAAATTTTTTAAAAAAAAAAAAAAAAAAAAAAAAAAAAAAAAAAAAAAAAAAAAAAAACCCCCCAACAAAACAAAAAAAAAAAAACAAAGAAAAAAAACCCCCCCCCCCCCCATTTATTATAAAAAAAAAAAAAGCGGCCGTTTTTTTTAAAAAAAAAAAAAACCAAACCACTTTTTTCCTCAAACAGGGGGGTTTTTTTTTTTAAATTTTTTTTTTGGCGGGAGACAAAGTCCATTGGCACATTGTCCACTGGCAGCATTTCCTCGCTGTATTGCGATACTTATTGATCTTATTATAATTTGACTCAAGAGAGTGGACATTACTCATTTTTATTTTTTACTGACTTTAACAGAACATGTATGTACACAAATGACACTCTTAATTTGTTTGTATTTTTAAATAAATACGTCCTCAAACGTCATTTGATAAATGAGTTACAACAAACAGGCAGAAAAAGACAGGACTTAAAATATAAAACATTTAACATTCAAAGAAAAAAGCAGGAGCAGGACGTTTACTTTACTTTTACATGCCCTCTATAATTTATTTCTTATAGGAATTTAATCATATGGTTAATGGCAATACTAAGATCAAATGTCAAAAAACCTGCTGAAAGCAGCTGTATCAACTTTTCCTGTGTTTTTATACAGTATTTTTGTTTAATTATGTTCATTTACCGTGGTTAAATAGTAAAATATAACAAAATGTCGAGCCGTCGTTCGTTGCTCGGATCGGCTTTAGATTCGTTGCCGGCTCCAACAGACCCATTACGTGAATTGTTTGAAGCTTGCAAAACAGGAGACGCAAATCGAGTGAAAAAGTTGGTAAATTCTCAAACTGTAAACGCAAGAGATACTGCAGGACGCAAATCTACGCCTCTTCACTTTGCTGCAGGTAAATTTTATTGTTTTCAACCAAATTTGTATCATTGATAGTTACTATATCGAAAAAAAATAGTGAAAGGTTTTTGGGGATTAAAATTGCATAATTGGTTTACGGTCGCTGATTTCAGTCATGTTTTATCTTTTTTGTGTTTCCTTACTGCCAATTTGTCATATTCCATTTGTTATTTACTGTTACTAATACATGAATCACGAAAATCAATTTGATATTGAAGATTAACTAGATCATTCATTAAAAAACATTAAAATGTAAATTAAGTGTATTAAGGTCATTAACTAATGTGCTATAAACACGAGAATACACTATTATTTTAATGTAAGTATTTAATTATGTTTATCTGTTTTACTGACTTATTAAGTTTTGATTTATGGTTAACAATTTAAATCAGTACAATAATTAATCTATTCTCTATCATATTCTTTGTAATTTGATAATAAAGTAATTAGGTCATAAAGAAAATTAAATAAAAATAACAAAAGTAACTTCTAAATCTAATAAGAAATGCTTAATCATAATATTTAAACATTTTATAGGGCACTTACTAATCCTGGCTGGAAAGTATTTAAATGTAGGAAAATTATGTAATATATTGGGTAATAACTTTTTTAACTTTAAAAAAGCCCTAAATGTGAGACTTACCAAACCAAAGAACCAAATAGCTATGCAACACATAAATTATTTGGAAGATAAATTGTGCTATTTGACACTTCATCGGACTCATAACTTATGATGGCCTTTATGTGACGAAAAGCGCTATCTGACAGTCGTGAAACGCAACAATAGTGTTTATCCTACCAATAAGTAATAAATAGCTAATTTGGAACTTATGTAGAACTTATCCGTACATTGTGAAACAGACCCTTAGTGTGTTGACTTAAGTAGGACTGAGAACAATTTTATAGAATTTCCTGTAATTTATTAACTGTGATTGTGATTTATTATGTTATTATTATGTGCCTTAATATTATGCCAATAAATGCATTTAATGAGCCATCATGAGTTAAAATATTTGTTTAGATAGTTCAGTAGGAAATGGGAAATATTGTTTGAGGTGAATCTCTAAGAGCCCTCAAGAGTGGCTCTAGAGTCTAGGCATGCAACCTTAAATGAGTAGTTACACAAGTATGATTACTTCTCTGATGAGAATTATAGTGCTAAACCATTGAAGGTTTCGAAAATGATATTCTGTATTTTTCTGCTTCACAGCAGAAAATTGACAATATATTCTTGTTAGTACAACCCAAAATATGAACAAAAGTAAAAAAATTGTCAAAAGACCAAACATAACAAAAACATACATTGCAGGTTATGGTCGCCGTGAAGTAGTTGAGATCCTTATAGCTGGTGGTGCAGCGCTTCAAGCTCGCGATGAAGGTGGTCTGCAGCCATTACACAATGCATGTTCCTTTGGTCATGCTGATGTTGTCAGGGCATTACTGTCTGCAGGAGCTCCACCAGCAGCTAGGGATAATTGGGGCTACACACCCTTACATGAGGCTGCTGCTAAAGGGAAGGTTGACGTCTGTATTGGTGAGTTGGATATATTAAAAATAATAATGATGGTAATAATACTAACAAATCCGGACACATCTAAGAACAGACGTTTTGGTATTTCCAACGAAGGACTTGGCCAATGCTAAAAGCACTTAGGGGCCCCTTCCTTATATTTTTATGGCTCCGGCACGATTTGTGCATTAGCCAGCGTCAAGTATAGGATTTTTTTATAATTCGTGCTTGTCTTTAGAAAATTCGACCGTGTCCTCCATGTACGGTTTAGGCACTCGCCCGGTACCGCACAACCCTCCCAAAGGCCGAGACCAAATTTAAATTAAATAAAAACTTGCCCTCGAACCGGGAATCGAACCCGGTACCCCTCACCTAGCTGCCACTTAATAAGACCGCTAGGCTATGAGGCCCCTACCCCTTCCTTTATACTAAAATTTCTCAATCTATGGATTGTGAGATATCAAAATCATTTATTCAAATAGGTAACACAATGTCCACTTAATAATTATTTATTGATATTCATAAATATAAATTGTGTTGAAGCGATTTTTTGAATTATAAGAACCCTTTTAATTAAAGTTTCTAGAATTATATTAAAGCGAATATATCGTTATTTTAAGTCAAAGACAATATTTTTTTTAGCATTACTTCAACATGGAGCTGATCCCAACATACGAAATACAGAAGGGAAGACACCGCTTGACCTATCCGATTCTGTAGCGAGGCCAGTGCTCACAGGTAATTTTAAATGTTATTGCTTCTTTATCTTCATTCTTCTTTGCTTCTCAATGGGGCTCTCATTTTCCTTTTAATTTGCATCTGTGCCAGTAAAGACGTCGAAACTTGGAAAAAAAAATTCAAAGAATAATCCGACCTAGCATTACTTACAGTATAGATGGTGTATATGACAGAAAACAGGTTCTGTAGTATTTAAGATATGGCATCTCAGAAACTACTTATTTCCAAAGCATGAATGGATCATCATTTTCAAATATCCTATTCCGACAATACCACGTATATATCTCAGGGATTGTTCTCTTTTCTGGGCTGTTACTTGTATAAGAAACTTAACAAAACTGAATATAAATCCTAAAAAAAAAAGAGTGTGTGTACTTATGTACACGCGTTAGAAGTTATACTTCTTTGGCGTATGGAAAAAAAATAACTAAAATGCAGTAGTGATTAACGATAAATATTAAAATTATTATAATACGGGTTGCAGACCAAGAGCTAAGCTAAGTTAGTTTAGCTTAGCTCGCATAGCTGACGCAATTTTCCATACATCTGTGCAGACCGCAAACTATGCGAACTAAGCTATGTGAGCTAACTAAAATATGCGAAGCTAAGTTGTGTATGCCGATGCGCAGCTACACGAGCTAAGTTAAGCCCCTCCCGCTACACCGCACACCCTTTGCACATACTATGCAACACTGACTGAGCATTGGGTTAGCTGTTGGTGTGCACGCTATTTATTTCTAGCTTAGCTTAGCCTAGCTTGCTTGGCATAGCTTAGTTTAGCCTTGGCATAGCTTAGTTTTCGGTCTGCAACCGGCTTTAGTAAATACTATCACCGTCGTATATGAAATTGATTTAATATAATCACCAAAATAATATTTATTTATTCACACTGTTTAGTTGTACTGTTACGAAACACGTGTTCTAAATATAAAAATACTAGAATATACAACTTGAACATAGTTACTATCGATTTTCATGCCACCTAGAACTAACTTCATTCTGTTAATTTTGTGTAACGGTGCGCACGCATCGTAAAATTTCACTCTCATCAATTTTTCATAACGCGCCTAAAGAAGTATAACTTCAAAAATCTATGACAAGTATTTTTTAAATTATTGCTATTAAAAAGAGAATACATTTTATGCACCCTGTGTTATTTTCTGTTACTAGGTATAACTTAATTTTTCTGATAAAAACAAACAAAAAGTATTTTTTGGATTTCTCTTGGGTTAGCCCCTGCATGCAGTCCGAACTTTTATGTTGATCTTTGGACATCCTTTATATGATATGTGCTGTAACCCACGAATGGTAAATCGAATAAAATCTAAACAAATCTTTCACTTGTCCAGGTGAATACTGCGCTTCCGACGTGCTGGAAGCAGCCAGGTCAGGCGCAGATGACCGTCTGGCGTCACTACTAACCCCACTAAACGTAAACGTACATGCTAGTGATGGAAGGAGATCCACTGCCTTACATTTAGCAGCCGGCTACAACAGGGCAAGGGCGGTGAGGCTGCTTCTCCAGAGAGGAGCAGATGTTCACGCCAAGGATAAAGGGTAAGATTCAGAAGTACACTTATGAACGTCAAACGAAGAGATGTTAAATTGATTCTTAATTAACATTTACTACCAGTTCGCGAAGGGCGTAGAGCGGGCGAGAAGAACTGGCAAGAAACTCTCCGCCACTCTTTTGAATCGCCATTTTTTTGTTTTACAAAATGTTTGTAAGGAGCTGCAACCATTACACCATGTTCCACATGACATCTTAAGTAATAAATAATAATAAAAAAAATTAAAAGCAAGGATTTGTCCTCTATCAGCAGGAGGCATGGTGAAATAGGAGCACTTACATTCTCGTGGGGCACAAGAAACTCAAATTATATTTTTGAAATGTTCACAAGAACATAAATATTTTTAAGTCAACGGGAATAAACATTGTCGAAGTAGACATGGAGTGGAATTGGCTGTGCCAAAAATCAATCTGGAACTGTTTAGGAAAAACACATTTTGTATGGCAATCAAGGTTTATTATACCAAAAACAATAAAAACATCTTCCTACTAGAGTTTTTAAATAGACTTACGCCCGAACCCAATAACATATCTCAATCCATAATCCACCATCTGAGATAGTAATCTTAATCCAAATGTTGTAACAAGTGTGCCAATAACCAATCGACGAATTGTAATAGCCATCTGTAGATACAAGCTATCCATGGGAGGTCGGATCGGTGTCTGTGGATAGACCTTTGTATGAAAATGACAGTTGACGAAAGCTCAATTTCAACCGTTGATTTTTTTTAACAGATTTTAACTTACACCAGTTTTTTAAATAATAAAAAAAACTGTTTGTTATGTTTTAAACATACACATGTATATTTTAATGTTGAAAGAAAGAAAGAAAGAAAAACTTTATTATACACTTTGATAAACTTTATTATTATACAATTAAAAACTTTGTTATATGTACGGTTTTATTTACTTTATTTGGTTTACATTGATTATCAAATATGAGTGAAAACTCGGTAAAATGTAACGACAAAGAGCATTTTATCCGTCTCCAAAAATGGATTGTCTTTGTAGGGTTTGGTTATTAGGATGCAGATAGATCGATCGACTGTCACGGTCTGATCTCAGATTGTTTTCAATGATTATTGGGTTTGGGCGTTAATGTGCTACTTTTGGAAGGAATATTATTATATTAATGATTATTTGCGTGATACATCATTTATAATTATTATAATTCGTCTTGATTCATAAAGGTCCGGCAACGCACTGCCGAGCCTAGTATTATGAGCATCATAGGTGAGCCTGTAAGCGTATTTTTTGCGTGCGTACTCAAGCGCAGGTTTTATTGTCAAAATTATGAGACGATGAAACGCATAGCGCTCAGTGCGTTCGTAGCGTTCGTAGACTGCGTACGTACGTATTGAGGTATTTTTCTTACCATAAATTTGCGATCCAAAATTGTTTTTGATCCTGTGTTTGTGGATTATCTTAAGATATTTTACAGCGGTCTCGTGCCCCTGCACAACGCATGTTCCTATGGACATTATGAAGTGACGGAATTGTTGGTGCGAGCTGGTGCTGATGTGAACGCGACTGATCTCTGGGCCTTTACACCTTTGCATGAAGCTGCTAGCAAGGCGAGGTTGGAGGTAGGTTTACTCTCAAAAGTCAGAAATCATTTATTCATATAGGTGCACTTATGAATGTCAAAAAAGAAATATACAATGCTTCTAACTTTATATTTAGTGCCAGTTCTCAAATCAAGGGCGTAGAACGGAAGAGAAGAACTGGCAAAAAACTCTCTGCCACTCTTTTTTTCTTTCTGTTTGTTATTACTGGAAAGATATCAAAATTGTATTAGAATTCTAAATTTGTTATTACACTTTGGTTCTAGGGTTTCATACCATTTATTATTTAATTTAAACTTTTTTTTGCGTTAAGTTATTTCTTTAAATGTAAGTATTCGCAAATTAACTATATTTATGTTAAGAATATGAGTGAAATGTTTTGTTATGGATCAGGTAGTTTTGGGTCCGTTTCCCTAATCCCCAAGACCCCAGGTAGCAGCAAAACAAAAGGTAACAATGTTACACGATATATTGGTTTTAACAAGGTATTACAATTACTGTGATCATTCGTTAGGAAGTCTGTGTTTTAGACTGGACTACAGACGTGTAAATGACGTTGTTTGTTTTTGACATTACTTTTGACAGTTTCAACTAGGAATTTATTGGACATCTTAATTTAAATTTCTATTCATAATTTTTGGTATTTATTGAACTCTTTTCAAATGACTGGACCGATTTTGATGTAACTTTTGTATGCCTTTAATGGGATCTGGGAATGGTTTTGATTCACAAATCAGCCCGGACAGATGGCATAGTGGTACTTTCATACATGGCGCTCTATCTTTAGCTACATGCAGGTAAAACGACTGTGGGGTCCACTAGTTTTCATTTAAAATTTCTCTTATAATTTTTAATACTTTTTGACAATATTTTCAAATGACTATGTAACTCGTCGCCTTTACATAAATGAATTATGTTACTCAACCCTTACACAGACTAGTTTAAAAGGCGCTCAATCTGGCGGCCTATCAGGCTAAAAATCTAGAGATTTTTCCAGTCCCAAAGATGAGTTGAAAGAATAATTTAGAATAAGCTCGTACTAGAATGTGCAAGTATTAAACTGTTCGTTCTCATGTTGATATTTTTCACAATAGATTAGTATATGAATTTACAGAGATTTTAAATTGAGCACAGAATAACTTAATTTTCTTTTTGTCATTAAAGTTTTCTAAATTTTTTTGTCATTAAGTTACATGTATGTTCATATTATATACTGTTTTAATTGTTAATATTTGGTAAACTAGCACTGAAGATTCCACTAAAATGCGTCAGTAATTGGAAATTCAGGTTTACAAATGTGTTATGTACTAACATTGTATTTCACCAATCTGTTTCTGATTCTGTTCCTTAAATGTAGAAAATACGAAATAAAATAAAAATTAATTCATAAAAATTATGATAAATTATTTATTTATTTATAAAGCAACTTCGTTGCGTATACATAAAAATGTAAAATAACATAATTAAATAAAAGACAAATTGCGCCTCGGCCTTCCATCGCTCCTCGAACGATCTCTTCAGGCAACCACTGTCAGAAAAGGAAAAAAAAAGTATTAAATTACATAAGGTAGGCAAGAAGTGCAAAAATACATGTATTACATATAGTTGTTAAGAAAAAGAAACTAAACAGGAAACAAATAACACAAAAAAACAAAAAAGATATAGCACATATATGTCCATTTAATTTAATACAGATTTAATACTGTAGATTTAACTTAATACAGATTTAATACTGAAGATTAAACTTAATACAGATTTAATACTGAAGATTAAATTATTATAGATTTAAGACTGATGAGTAAATTTACATCAGATTTAAGACTGAAGAATTAATTTACAACAGATTTAAGACTTACTATTATGGATTAAAACAAACTGGTTTATTTTTTAATTTTGAATTTGTAGGTCTGCTCGCTACTACTTAGCGAAGGTGCAGATCCGACATTACTGAACTGCCATGGAAAATCAGCTTTAGATGTTGCACCAACGAGAGAACTTCGGGATCGACTCGCCTGTAAGTATATCCAGCAGGTGGTGCTTCATATAAGTGTGACTTTTATCGGCAAGCTGTTCCATTGGTGAACAGGAATTTCAATGCATAATCTACATATTAAATGGGGAGCAGTGTTGGCCTAGTGGCTTCAGCGTGCGACTCTCATCCCTGAGGTCGTAGGTTCGATCCCCGGCTGTGCACCAATAGACTTTCTTTCTATGTGCGCATTTAACATTCGCTCGAACGGTGAAGGAAAAAGGAAAACTGTCTTGCCTTAGACCCAAAAAGTCGATACTCACCTGATATTGACAAGTGATCATAGCACGGATCCGGAAATCTGATGTCCAGACCTAAATGTTGTAGCGCCACTAATTTTCTGTGTCAAAGTTATTTTATTTTTTTTCAGTTGAATATCGTGGCTACTGTTTATTGGAGGCGTGTCGGCTAGCTGAACCAACTAGAGTGAAGAAACATTTGTCAGTAACGAACTCACAGGTATGTTGTCACCTTACGGGGGAATGGGGCTATCGCAAGTGAATTAAAGTCAAGTGTTTTGAAATTAAATTTTAAAATGCCGGCCTGCCACTAAAGTATTTCCGAACCAATTCGACTTGGGGTCCTTCAAGACAGCGAGCCCTTTGGCATTGAGAATGTCCATGGGCGGTATCACTTAACATCAGGTGAGCCTTCGGACTGTTTTTCCCGTTATATATAAAAATAATACAATATGTCCATTCAATTCCGTCGGATCATTACTAATGCCAACATTGCGCCAGTAGATGGCGCTAACGTGGCAGTTAATATTCTAATTCGTTGTCAGAATTGTTGTGCGCTGTCAAATGTCACTCAGGGGGCCTCATAGCCTAGCGGTCTTATTAAGTGGCAGCTAGGTGAGGGGTACCGGGTTCGATTCCCGGTTCGAGGGCAAGTTTTAATTAAATTTAAATTTGTTCTCGGCCTTTGGGAGGGTTGTGCGGTACCGGGCGAGTGCTTAAACCGTACATGTAGGACACGGTCGAATTTCTAAAGACAAGCACGAATTATAAAAAAATCGTATACTTGACGCTGGCTAATTCACAAATCGTGCTATAGCCATTAAAAAAAAAATGTCACTCAACAAAAAAGGTTTAATGCTGCAAAAATGTTGCAGCCTCAGAGCCAAGCCTTGTAAGTTTCTGTAGAAAATGAATTAAATTTCAGGACGTCCAATCGGTCAGCGGTCAATCTATAGCGGGTTCGATCCCAAATGAAAGAATAACTGAATTAGTTAACTTTCAACACCTTAGTACAGGTGATCGGCCCCTTCACTGTGTGGCTGGTAGTGTTTATCCGAAACGAAAACAGGTGAGGGAATAAAATAAAATGTAATTTTGCACAGTTGTCTATGGCCACACTAAAAGTGTGAAGTTTGTTCGCACTGGGATGATAATACTTGAGATTAATTTGCTGCAGTTTAAACAATTTGTATGACTCAAAACTTGGCGATTAAAAAGAGTGGCGGAGTTTATTGCCATTTCTTAACCGCTCTACGCCCTTGACTTGCGAACTGGTAGTAAATGTAAATTTAGAATCTCTGTTGTGTGTGTGTACCTATATGAATAAAGTTATCTCGAACAAAAGAATACTGCTAAAAGGCAGGATTGAAAAGCGCTGAATATATTTGACGAATGTCCAATTATGCAAATGTGGGACTGTAGGAAAGGCAAATTTGATACTCCCCTGCTGCCTAGCTTCTGGGCCACAGGCCATGGTTAGGCTATTAGTACTCATTTTTTTAAATATACATACAGTTTGATTTTGTTTTGTGATGTTAACAGTTCTATTAAAGTATTGTCTGCCACCAAACACTGGTGTCAAACAATGAAAGAAACATTTGTTTTGCTAACTATAATATATTTTTTTACTGTTTTCTTTGTAACTACCCGCAATAATTCGGTCGTATATGTACGATGTTTTATAGCTTTTATCGGTAAATAGACTTAATTTTTTTTTAATGCTAAAATAATATTTTGTTGGACATATGGTCGCGGACTTTGTAGATATTGTCTTCTATAAAACTAGTATATCACTATGCTCTATTGTCAATAGTTTCCGCAATGTACGCGATACAAATTACCGACACCAAAAAGTGACCTTTTTTACCTAAAAATCACAATTTTGTGGCGTAAAGTACCGAAAAGTCGCTCAAATATCTTTGGTATTGTTTTAATCGCAATTTTTTTTTAATTCCAAATTTGGAAGATCAATCAGTTTTTATAAAGTTTGAGTATTTCCGAATGGGACATATAGTACGACATAGTATTTCTTAAACACCCCTAAGTATGTTTTATATTAAACATAAATTGTAGGTTATAGAGACCCTTCTACGCAAAGGCGCACGTGTCAACGAAAAGAACAACGCGGGACAAAGTGCCTTGCACGTAGCCACCGAACACTCGCATTTAGACGCCATGGATCTCTTGTTACGACATGGTAAGTTTTTTATAGAATTTATAAGTGTTGCCAACACAAAAAATACACCTTATATTTATCAAAATTTTGGTAATAAAAACACATTAAGTTTATTTACTACTTAAGGTAGACTTTTCATGGATGGACGACCCCAAGTTGGAATCTGAACTGTGCTTGACTTATATTTTTGAAGTTATACTTCTTTAGGCGCGCTATGAAAAATTTATGAGAGTGAAATTTTACGATGCGCGCACCGTGACACAAAATTATCAGTATGGGCGCCGAGCGTGCGCGAGCGAGATGGGAATAAGACAATCTACAAGTAAAAAGAAATAGAATATGCGTGAAATTAGCAGCTATGCCAAGCATTTTGAATGACCATAATGACCTTTGTGGTACCTTTTAAACAAATAAAGGAGTTTTAATTATTTTTTCAAAGAAATTTAGCAATGCTTTTTCACAAAGACCTATTGTTACTTAGTTAAAAGGTTATGAAACATACCTAGTTATTAAATTGAATGAGTTATATAATAGAATAATACATAATAATAATTATAATTATTAATATTAATTTATAATTGAATAATATACTAAATATTAAATATTGTTTAATTATTAACGCTAAATATTTATTATTAATTATTTAATATTCTAAAAAAATTAAGAAAGCCAAAGAAGTATAACTTCTTACGCGCGTACATAAGTACACGCACCATTTTTTTAATAAGCAATCAGGCAAGATGATCAACCGATGTGAACTGCCACCCATGGCATACCAGAAAGGTTGTCAATGTTAATGATTGCAGGTCGATTGCATCGAGGACAATCAAACCGTCATGATCGTAGAACAATGTCGGATTTGAAAAAAAAACCAAAATCCACTTTTTATCATATTTCCATAATATATGACTAAATATTACGGCTACATAAAAAAAATCCATGTGTTTTAAATTTCAAATTAATCAGTCGGTAAAGTGACGGATTTGATGGACATGCTTCTATGTGATTTTTCTAGAAAACTGTGTAATTTAATGTTATTATTTTTATTTTGTTTCAAAACAAACCCCTTTGTTTGCTTGTATCAATTTTCATAATTACAGAATATGAATTAAAATAGTTATGACAAAATAGTTACATGATTATATTATTTTGAAATGGCTGCCCTGTAAAGTTTACTATTTGTCAGATCCGTCACTATTCTAGGACTATGACGAAACACTTATGAAAAATCAGACAACGCTAACTAGATCCACGCACCTTCCTCGCAATCTAGTAGCCCGCGAAGAAGTGGCATCCAAGCGTCCGTAATATAATAGGGTTGGGTTATGTTGGTAGAAATGTGTTTAAATTATATTCAGTATAAACTCCATGTAACGACCTTCTATTTAACGACAAATCGTCGAAATCAATTGGCTTTGGTTGGTTTAGCTTGTCACTAATACCCTCTACATAGAATTAAATCTACCCTCAATAACGAAAATTAAATAATAAAAAGTACTCTTAAGTTGCCGAAATTAGTTAAAACTGCGTGCTGTGTACGTTCTTTAGTCGCTTTTGTCCTGGCCCGTAATAAACTTGACTATCGGCATCATATGTACCAAACTTTCTAAGAAATCCGTTAGTTTGTTTACAAAATGGGATTGCTTGAGCGTGATTTGTCACGAAAATGCCTCAATATCAAGATATAAATAAAATACAACATAATTACTAACACTAAATAAATATTTTTTCTAATACAGACTTTTCTTGTTTCCATTTAACGACAACTCTTTGTAACGTCAAAATATGCTCATTCCGTTGAGTGTCGTTATATAGAGTTCACACTGTATATTAAAATTCCCTTTAATAGGCTTCCATACTGAAATGATTTTCAATCCATCCAATAAGGTTTCCAATATAATACTCGAAGCAGAACTAATCTAAGCGTACGACCAACCAGGCTCCAGAAGATAAACCCTACCAGATATAGATATGGAAATTGTATTCGTTTTTACAACAAACTCCTAAGCGAAATTAGAAAATTATCACTGAATAAATTCAAAGCCCTCGTTAAAAGTAAATTAATCAATAAAGATTATATTTGACGATTATTTAAATTATTTCTCCAGTTCAAACAATTTGTATGACTCAAAACTTGGCGATTAAAAAGAGTGGCGGAGAGTTTCTCCGCTCTACGCCCTTGACTTGCGAACTGGTAGTAAATGTTAATTTAGAATCAATTTAACATCTCTTCTGTTGACGTTCATAAGTGTACTGGGGGGGGAAGAAAAGGGGGGGGGGGGGGGCCCCGGGGTGGGGGGGGGGGGGGGGGGGGGGGGGGGGGGGGGGGGGGGGGGGGGGAAAAAAAAAAAAAAAAAACAAAAAAAAAAAAAGAAACCCCCCGCCCCCCCCCGGGGGGGGGGGGGAGGGGGGGGGAGGGGGGGGGGGGTTTTTTTTTTTTTTTTTTGTGTTTTTTTTTTTTTTTTTTTTTTTTTTTTTTTTTTATAAAAACAACCCCCCCCCGGGGGGGGGGGGGGGGGGGTTTTTTTTTTTATTTTTTTAAAACTTTTAAAAAGAAAAAAAAAAAAAAAAAAAAAACCCCCCCCCTTTTTCTTTGGGGGGGGGGGGGGGGGGGGGGGGCCCCCCCCCCCCAGGCCATTTAATTTTTATTTTTTTTTAAAAATTTTTTTTTTTTTTACCCCCCCCCCCCCCCCCAAAAAAAAAAGGGGAAAAAAAAAAAATTTGGGGAAAAAAAAATATTTTTTTAAACAACTTTATAGAAAAATTTTATTTGTTTGGTGTGTGAAGGCCGCAGCTTTCGATAACCGACCTATACTTGGTTATCTATTTTGGGGGTTTTTTTTTTTTTTTACCTATATTTGGTTACCTATCAATAAAGTTATTTTGAGTTTGAAGCAGAGCGAGTTTTATGTGATTTAATTTCGTAGGTGCGAAGGTTAATGCATGTGATGGTCGTGGAGAAAGTGCTTTGTCGTTGGCGGCGCGAAGAGATTCGGCTGCCGCTTGTCGGTTACTGTTAGCATGTGGGGCGGATACTCTGGACTCGCAACATACACAGCATGGTATGTCGAATTATCCCCCCATTAAATTTATCTTCTGCTTTTGAAAGCAACTCTTCGACTCTTCTCTATCTTCTATTTTGTTTATTCGAGCCCATTATACCCTGTAGATATGATTTTCTCTTTCTTGAAATCATTCCTTATCATGTCCACTCATACTCTTTCTCTCACAGACCACCCTTCTAGACTTTTTCTTATTTAGTTTAGCCTTTTTGCTTCTTCAGCAATATTTTGAGCCTCATTTTAAAATTGAGACCTTTATATGATGATGTTTTTATCTTGCCTATTTAAGAATATTTCTTAGAATATCCCCCACTTCGGTGCCACTATCTATTATATATTTACCATAGTATATTTTATATGCTCCCACCATTCCATATGACAAGTTAACAGCCCCCTACAGTCTTAATATATTTATGTATAAATATTTCAGATGCATGCTCAAACGCGGCCGCTCTTCGGCTTCTAGAAGCAGCTAGAACGGGTGATGTAGAAACTGCTAGAACTATATTGGATTCTCGGCCGCGATTGGTGAATTGTCGTGATGTTGATGGGAGGCATTCAACACCATTGCATTTTGCTGCTGGGTATGTAGGCGGCCTATTGTTATCCTGGCTTGATATAGGGGAATATAGGGAATATCGAAATATTTTTATTTATTTTATAACAAATCCAAGCCAGCAAGCAATCCATTTTAATAGTCTAAAGTTTCCTAAATTTGAAAGTTCAGCTCTATAGTCGTATTTTTAATTAGACGAAGCCAACTGACAGTAGCTAATGTCACTTTGTAAAAGAATGTTGCCATATTTAAAGTAATAGTGATACGTTCAGTTCTTGTTCAATCAGATGAATGAACAATGAGTGTGAATAGTTAATCATTTCAAACTATAAAATAATATTATTTCTATTTTAAAATTATATAAAAGTGCTCTGATTTAAGTTAGGTACTAGTAGTATGTAACTACAATCAGATTTTTGACGGCTTATTACAAAGCGCGGCGTGGTGACTAGTGTCATCACCGATCATTAATTCAGGAGTTTTTTCAATCATTCACTTTGTCACAACACTATTTTTATTTCATTAAAAACTGACAACACCGTAAACGTCAGTTGACTTCGTCTAATTAAAAATACAACTATAGGTTAGATGGTGTTTTAACACCCCCTTGCCTCGGATGAATGAAGATGTTACGCGCTTGAACGCGCACGTGTACGTAGAGATTACGTATACATTTGTGGATTTTTGACTAGCCGCCGTAGAACGGAGAAACATGAAAAAAACACTTTTTCAGATACAACAGACTGCCACTAGCACAGCTTCTTCTGCAAAGAGGTGCTGATGTTCACGCTAAGGATAAAGGGTAATTAAGTGAAATATTTGTCATGAATGTCATCTTTTTTGGATTTAAATACATATGTATTTAAATTCTGATGATTTTTTTTTTTATTTTTATATTAATTAATTTATTGAGAAAAATGAGATCCCAAAATAATTATGAAAACTATTTTTCAGTTTTTCTTCATAATATAAAAGTTAATAAAATAAAAATGGGAGACGAAGGTTTTTGGCTTTAATATAATTTATTAAAAAGTTACGTCTACCTCAGATTACAATATTCTTTCTCAAGTGATCACCCTTCTGTGTCCTCACATATGTACATTGGGTCTAAGGCATTGACCACTAGGCCAATACTCCTGCAATAAGTATAACAGTGTAAACTCTATATAAAATAATTCGTTATAACGGAACAGCCATTCTATATAACGAAGAAATATTTTCACATTTAGACATCAACAACATACTTAAGTGTAATTCTTTTTATAATCAGCTTACGAAACTAAACTTATGATTTGCCTAATTTTTTTTAAAGCATCTGAGGTAATTACAGTCGTCTCGCCTTTGTTAATGTGCATTGCAATGACAAGTGTGCCATAATTCTTAGATTACATTGCTTGTAGGAAATTTTGGTTTCAGTTACTAAACGCACCACCGTCACCTATTATCTAATATATAAAATTCTCGTGTCACAATGTTCGTTCCCATACTCCTCCGAAACGGCTTGACCGATTCTCATGAATTTTTTAATGAATATTCAGTAAGTCTGAGAATCGGCTCCTATATATCTTTCAAACACCTAAGTGATAAGGGGTGTCGACACAAAAAAAAATTATTTAAAAAAAAATGTTTTTATTTATTTATGCTACAGCATACAAAAATACATACAACCCTTAATTTTCACCCCTCTACGATCATTTATTATAGAAGATAGTTATTTTTATATTCATGTCAAAACAACGTTTTCCGGGTCAGCTAGTATATATATAAATTATTGTAATTGGTTAAATTCGTTTTTTTCTCTTCCCTCCCTATAACGAATACTTTCTATTACGAAAGCTGGATGCCATGTAATTCGTTATAAAGAGTTAACACTGTATAACATTTTCAGCGGTCTAGTGCCCCTACACAACGCCTGCTCGTACGGCCACTTTGAAGTGACAGAACTGTTGGTGTCGGCTGGGGCTGGGGTCAACGCGGCCGATCTGTGGCGTTTCACACCCTTGCACGAGGCTTCTGCTAAGGGCAAGGCGGACATCGTCAGGCTGCTTTTGAAGGTATTGTTACGAGCTAGGGGATCGGATAGAAAACGCCGTAGATTTCTTCAAGGGATTACTTCTAAATAAATTAATGATAAAACGAATAGTTAGGTTGAGAAAAAGAGAGACTTTATTAGTTGTACAAATGTAAGACTAATACTAGCACAGACTACAAGTACACAGACTGATATCAAGTAGACTATTTTGATACAAGTAAACATATCTTAACAGCACCACTTATCAAAATAATCAAATACTAAGCAGTAATAAAACTAACAACTTTGACAATTTAAAACATTTTGAATTCCTAATAATTTTATAAGATAGTTATGTTTGGAGCACTCAAACTTTTCGTTAATATATCAGCAGGCATCTAGATGTTGAAAGATATTCAATTTTAACAAGGCTATTAGAGACTGCTTCGCGTATGAAGTGGTAGCGAACATCTATATGTTTAGTTCGTTTGTGAAACAAAGGATTCTCGTCCACCTCTTGGCCCCCTGGTTATCATTGTAAATTACTACAGTATAGTTACAACCAATAATATCTGATATAAGACTTTTTAAATATATTGCCTCTTTACATGCTTCAGCAATGGCCATGTATTGGCTCGGTACTTGACAAAGCTACGTTTGTTGCTTCCTACATTCATAGGATATCACAAGCCTGACAATTTAAAACAAAATCCTGGTAGGATTTCCTATCTACAGTATTCGACGCCCAATCAGCATCTACAAAACCTTCTAAATTACAGGTATCTTTAGTAAACTTCAAACCATAAGATTTAGTTTTGATGTTTAATCTTTTTACATGATGCCAATGAACTGAACTAAAACAATTATTAAACTGGCTAAGGTAGCTCACACTATATGATATATCTGGACGTGTTAATACTGACAAATACATAAGATTTCCTATAAGTGTGGATAGGGAAACTGTTTGTCAACACATTCTGCCTTTTCTAATTTCAAATAACATTCCATAGGAGTATCTTTAGTATTACAATCAGTCATATAAAACTTTTTAAGAATTTGTTTTACAAATTGTTCCTGATCAATAGATATACAGTTATTTTCACATTTCACTCTCATGCCTAAACACCTTTTAATTTGACCTAAGTCTTTAATTTTAAATTTAGACATAAGTTTTTCTTAAGATCATTAGTCATAGTTTTACAATTAGAAAAAATAAAGAAATCATCAACAAATATTGCAATGATAATCTGCTCATTCTTACATTTTTACTGTATAAACATGGTTCTGATACTGACTTTTATAATCTAAATCTATCAAAAATCGTTTATTCTAGCATTCCAGCCTAGCAGACTGCTTCAAACCATAAACTGCCTTTTAATTTTAAGAACACAATTACTCGGACAATTTAAATTAAGGTGCTTGCATGTATACATTTTCTGTTAAAAACCATTTAAAAATGCTGTAACTACATCAAGATGAGTGATTTCAAAATTATATTTTACACTTATTGCAAACAATAATCTAAGGTAAGTACCTGAGAAAGGTAGTAGGTCTCATTAAAATCTATGTTGTTGAGTGAACCTTTCGCCACAAGTCTTCTCTATATGAATGTTATTGTTTTCTGGTTTTTTGAACACCCATTTGCATTGTACTACTCTATTGCTCATCTTGACTGACAATCTCCCAGGCTTGGTTATCCTCAAATGCTTGAAGTTCATCAGACATAGCCTGCTGCCACTTCTTTCTCTGGACGTTGGTAGCTTCATTATAACTTATGTCTTCAGCCCAAGATTCTGATTCATTGAAACACAAAGATTAGTAAAACCATATCTTTAGGAGGTTTCCTGATACGCTTTCCACAATGAGGTCTTCATTTTAGATAGATCTTCTTTTTCATTTAATGTATGATAAAGTTCTCCTTAGTTGAAGTTGTGCTTTTTCTGAATCATAGAAGGTAGGATATCTGATGAAGATGTATTTTAAGAACTTCCTCTTCTATGATTGCTGTTCTTTTATTGTCCTTCGTTTATTTCTATCTAGAGTATGCTCATATAATGAATTTAGGAAATCTTTCAGTTGGGTGTATAATCGGTAACCTTTCACATTTTCCAGTATCCCACTAATATGTATTTAAGCTTTTGTCCCACTTAAATCTTTTATTTTTAGGAACAGATAAAGGGCTCCAAATATTCTGACATGACTAGGTAGGTTTATGTCCTGTCCATACTTCAATCGGGTCTTTTGGTCGAAACCTGAAGCTGGCGATCTATTTTTAAGTATATGCCGTGAACTGCTTATGCCCAAAAGTTTTACAGTTTGTCGAACAATAAACATCTTGCGCGTTCAACAATTGTCCTGTTGAATCTCTCGCGACACCATTTGCTTGGAGTATATGGGTGTTTCGAGGATGATTTCACTATCTTTCAGATAATTTTCATATATCTGAGCAAAACTCCCTCCATTGTCAGTTCTCAATGTTTTTATTTGTTCCTTTTGCTTCTCAACCATTCTTTGAAATTCCTTGAAATATGTAGAGTTGATTCTTCTCCTTTAGAAAATATACAAATGCATTTGCTAGCATCATCAACAAACAATAGAAAATATTTGTGTCAATGATGAACCTCCATAGGCCAACAGATCTGAGTGAACTAAATCTAGCAATCTGTACTTCTATGGTTTCTTAATTGGAATGGTAAACGACTCTGTTTCCCTTCACAACATACCTGGCAGTTTATTTTCTGAATATCAGCCTTCATATCAAATGATATGCCATCTACAGCACCATTTTTCATCTTCTGCAAATCATTACTGTTAATATGACCTAATCTTAGACTGTTGATTGTAATTTGAATGTGGCAAATTTCTTGACTAATGTATTCAACTTATAAACCATTTTAAATTTGTATCAATAAGCTATTGTGAATGTATATAAACAATCACTTTGAAAATAACTTTGTTTCCTTTGCTATTAGTGGTTACTGATAATAGGTTTGTGGTAGGTTAGGTATGTACAAAATGTGTTCATTTAATGTAAATGAGAATTATTCAAAGGTAGTTATTGTGTATTCGGCACACACAACTGGCACAGTATATTATTTGCAACAATAATTTCCTTCATATCGTGTACTTTCTACTTCAATAAATTTTCTTGCATGATGTATATGAGTAAGTGAGTGATATACAATCATCCTTATTAAATTCACTATTAAAAAATGCAGACTAAATGGTTTACTTGCTTTTCTTTAACTTAGGAATGGTTTTGAAGGGCAATTTCTGACTTATAGATTTTATAACCTTCTTGGTATTTGAAAGAAGAGTTTGTGGCTTTTCTATTAAATTTGACAAACTTACTTTTATGCTTAGACAATAATGAATTCAGTAGGTAGTAGAACTCATATAAGAATTTTGTTTGATGAATAGAGTTTATAGCTATACGGAATTTTATTGATATAAGGAAACTTTTTGGTAGCCGCAAAATAATGATCAATCATTCCTATTAATTCGAATCCTGTACCTTTCAGTTTTGTGCAGTTTCAAATTTGATAATAATTGTCATGGACTCACAATTATCAAGTGAATGGATATAATGTTTTAGTAGACTGATTTTTGGTGAATCCGCTGTATCAAATAATTTTGAGTTTCTGCCACAAATTTGACTTTAGTTTCATTTTTTATATGAACATACAACTTGGGATAATGAGTGAGGTGTTTTCTGTCTTCTGCATCACTTAAATCCAAGGAATGGATGATGTAACTTAAGATGAGAAAATTTTTGGGAACGCAGTATAAAGTTGTGAATTATAAATAACGCTGACGACGACATTATATTTTATTTTCTTACACACGATATGAATTTACTGAAATATTTAATTAGTTTTATGGGCCCATAACCTAATAAAACGAAGAGTTGAGGTTGAGAACAAAGAGAGACTTTATTAGTTGTACAAATGTACAGACTAATACTAGCACAGACTACAAGTAGCACAGACTGATATCAAGTAGACTATTTTGATACAAGTAAACATATCTTAAAGAATTTGTTTACACTAAAAGCCGGAAATTACGCACAGGAATTCACTGATTACACAAACACAAAATACTGTCACTAATTACTTTAATTACACACACTTCGCACAGTACTTAATCGCCTGTCTTAACTATATTCGCACTTTTTTACTTCGGTGTTTATCTCTTGCTATCGCATTCGAAACTGAACTAATTGGTCGCGTTTCGGCTCGTTTATATATCCCTGGGAATAATCTGGAACGATGTTCGAGAACTCTCTAGACAGGAGCGCTACTGAGTAGCGATCGCACAATGCTAGAACGTGCGTACTTGCTATCTCTTTCGCACACTGCTCCGTCCTTGTCGTACGGTGTAGAGTGCTCGGTCTAGCACTAGGTCTGGCAGGGAAAAATTGGTGTTTTGGCGAATGTCTGACAGTTCTTCACACCGGAACAGTACTTACGTAATACTTGAACGGTCCCAAAGGAGTGGAACTCCTTCCCCATTCTATATTCCCTGGACAGTTTAATATGGGTAAATTTAAGCAGCGGTTGAATGGACTTCTTGACAGGCGCCCTCATAGGCGATATCTCATTTAACATCAGCTGGGATTATGAGAAAGTCTGTCCAGTTCTTTATAATCTTAATATATATAAATTACGCGTCACGTTGTTTGTCCGCTATGGACTCCTAAACTACCGAACCGATATCAATCAAATTTGCACACCGTGTGTAATTGGTGGTAAAAAAGCATGATAGTCCCCATGACTGGTGTTCTCCTACCGTTTCCCTTGAATAGTTTGCTACTATGTAATATAACAAAAACCTTAGCCACAGCAACGCTTGGCCGGTCTGCTAGTAATATATAATATATATATATAAAAAAACCTAAAGCATGCAAATACAGGGGTCTAGGCTCAGAATATTATTTTGTCCCATTCGGTGTCGAGACTCTTGGTCCGTGGGGTCCTAGCGCTTTAAGGCTTTTTAAAGAAATATCAAAAAGGTTAGTCGACATCACAGGAGACCGAAGAGCTGGCAGCTACCTCGGACAAAGATTTAGTCTAGCTATTCAAAGAGGGAACGCTGCCAGTATCTTCGGAACCTTGCCTAAAGGGACTCCTTTTAATAATATATTTTAGTTTATGTTAAGGTTAGTTTTTTTTTCTTTCAATGTATATTATTTTAGTTATTAAGGTTAATTATTTTATGTAATAAAAGTTATATTATGGTTTAAAAAAAAATATATATATATATATATTTAACCGGCTACATATTCATCAGGGGGAAGTCATAAACTTTTGTGATAATTTTACAGCATGGAGCTGACCCAACGCGTAGGAATCGCGATGGTTTAACCCCACTCCAGTTGGTGCGAGCTGGTGATAGTGATACGGCTGATGCACTGCGGGGTGATGCGGCGTTGTTGGACGCGGCTAAGAGGGGAGACCTCGCCAGAGCTAGGTGATTCATTTATCTAAATCTAGAAAAACACTTTTTTAACGGATTTGAAGGTATGTTTCATTATAAATTTACTATTATTTTACATAATTTTGAGTCGATACCAAATCCGGGGAAATAAATACAGATAATGCAACTTTCTCTGCAGCTGTGGTACTTTTTGACATTCAACACCTTTTGTCTTCAGTCACCGTGACCACGCACGCTGTAAAGCACGCGAAACGTCGGGTAAAATTTAAAATTATGTTAAATAATTGTAAATTTATAATAAAACATAACTTCAAATCCGTTAAAAAAGTGTTTTTCTATGTCTAAAAGTTATGTCAATAAAAGACAATACTATATCTAAATCTAGATCTTACAAACGCAATTTAAAAGAAAAATAATAAATTATTTTGATTTAATTATTTGTTACAAGGATATGTTCAAATAATACACTTTTGTCGTCAAAGTTTTTATTATTATTAATAATGTAATAATAATATTCGTGAGCAGTGTTGGCCTAGTGGCTTCAGCATGCGATTCTCATCCCTGAGGTCGTAGGTTCGATCCCCGGCTGTGCACCAATGGACTTTCTATGCACTAACATTCGCTCGAACGGTGAAGGAAAACATAGTGAGGAAACCGGCTTTATATCCAAGAAGTCAGTGTGTGTCAGGCACAGAAGGATCACCTACTTGCCTATTATTTGTTAGGCCCAGACCTAAAAAGGTTGTGGCGCCAATGATTTTTTTGATGTGAAACATCTATAGCCGCACGTAAAACCGATTTCTGGCGTGGCGACGCATGCCGTGGCGACGCGCCACGCTAATGATGGTATATATATATACAGTCTATATGCAGGAGTGTGTACGGTGTGTGTATTTCGAAGTCACTGATTAAACGAATTAAGTAGTCACGATTTGAAATAAATTTTTGTATTTAATGAAAATAAATGTTTATTCAATAAATAGTCATCGTTATCTGGAAAAAAATCGTAATATTTTATTTTATCATTATTACATATTTAGTTCCTATCACAATCTGTTCTTTTCTGCATATTACTTTCAAAAATAATGTCGATGTTTCACATCTGCCAGGCGTCCCGTGACGGCTCACATTTATTTTTAATATTCGTACAATTTCAGAAAACTAATAACTGCCCAAAACGTCAATTGCCGTGACGCGCATGGAAGGAATTCTACGCCACTTCATCTCGCAGGTAATAAAAAGGTCAAACACAGCCTTAAATGTAGGGGAAATCGTTTAAAATGTCTATTTTGACGTGACAACGTCTAATAAATGGATGTATGGCCGGCTGCACGCACGAAAAATCATGACTCATTGTCCCGTTACGCTCACTGTCCGGTTATTAGAGCTCTTGTTAACGAACGTTTTTGTCAACGGGTAACGGGCCGACGCAAAACGGCTACCTTTGTACACGATACGCTAAATATAACGTGAACGCGTCCGTTGTTGTCGATATCAGTTCTATTAAATTTGAAGGGAGAAGTGCACGTACGTTGATTATTATTTATCAGATAATGTCTCAAAATCTTCATTTAGCATTACGAAGATTTCTTTCCATGCCGCAAAATTTGCTTGTTTATTTTTGTAATTTTCTATAGTTTTGTCCCATAACATAGGCCTATTCTGAACAAGGCTAATTAATAAATCCATATCAATGGTAAACTCCATATTCACAATGAGCAGCAGAGGGTAGGTAGATAGAAATATAAACGTGCGCACATCCGTCGTCGTCAACACACTTCTATGAAATGACGTAGTTCACTGCATCGGACAGTCCGCCGTCGCGCCGAGGGGCAACGTGCGCGCATCCGTTGAGTCACGTTGCAACGGGTATGAGCCCGTCGCGTTAACAAACTTACTTGAACACTGCGCGTCGGCCCGTCGCCCGTTATAAATCGGGCCGTTGTCCGTTGTCGTTAACAAGAGCTCTTACGCCGCATCTATCTCTCTTCCAATCGTTTGGTCTATGCATCCGTGGATTCATTCCTTGGTCCATACAAAGATGGTAATTCAATAATAATGATTCAATTTTATTTATAAAAGTATGTTGCATCAATGTTTTGTTATGACGTCATCACGTTAAACTATCCGTAAACAGACAAATAATAACATTTTCATGTTTAACATTTAAAGAATTATACAAAGCGTAGGATTTACATTTGACATTTCTGTCAATTTTACATAGCTCGTCTCGTGAAACTTTATTTTTTCGTTACAAAATACCTAACGAACAATTCACGACCAAATTATGCTAATCGGTTTTGCACTGGCAATATTAGAGGAACTGACACATGTCATTAACTACAATACTGACATTTAACGTCAAACTGTCACCTATACGTCACCTTGTGGCTCCTCTTCGCAGACTATTTGATACGTTATAAGGTATTCGGGGTACGCCTGAAAAATAAATCTTCATTAGACCTTTCATCACAGAACATTGGGGAATAAACTTCGATCGTTCAAGTATTACGTTACGAATTTTGGGGGGTGAGGGGGTCCTTTTGTAAAACGTTACGATACGGGGCGTGTATTGGATTACGCGTTGTTAATATTATTTTTGACTTTCCGGTACTTTACACCACATAATGGTAACTTTTAGGTATAAAGAGTCACTAGGTGGTCACGAAACGTTTTACTATACTTGGGTACAGTACTGTAATTAGGTAAAGATAAACGTTACGGCGCGTTACATGGGCGGAGGGGGGGTCAATAATCTCCAAAAATTGCGTTACGTAATACTTGAACGCTCCCTATATTAATATACGATTATTACTATATTTTTTTTTAAATAGCCGGCTATAACAACCTGGAAGTAGCAGAAGCCCTTTTAGAAGCGGGGGCAGCTGTATCAGCCAGAGACAAAGGGGGGCTGGTGCCGCTTCATAATGCAGCATCGTACGGGCATTTAGAAGTCGCAGCGTTGTTATTACGAGCCGGAACGCCCCCCAATTCTGCTGATCGGTGGGGCTTTACCCCCCTTCATGAAGCTGCTCATAAAGCCAGGACCCAATTGTGCTCTTTGTTGGTAAGTACCCCTCTTTTGTTCCCTTTTGGGTAATTGTCTCAATCTCCTACGACAAGTGTGATAGGGCGGTATTATAGAACGTATCAATATCTACAAAAAGAATGTTTTACCCATGGGCAATTGTATTTTGGCCTATCTCGAGTTGAATTTTTGTTTTTATTTTTAGCATCTAAAAATCCTGGACTGATTATAAATCTTTCATTACTGGCAATCAAGAATTTTGAACGAATTGCACAAAAACTGATGTTACCAATTTAAAAAGCTATTAGATATACATTCGTTGTAAAGTAAAATCTGTGTATACGTCGCAGTAAAGTACTTAAATCAGAGGGTTAATTGAATCTCTAGATAGTTCATTAAATATCGATATTCAATCAACTCGCTAAAGTTCCGTCAGACAACTCCTAGACAACAAGACGCATTTCAACTTTAGTAGGGTCACTAAGATATTTGATTGGAAAGATTATATTATATTGTCGTTTAATATTTCATTATTTAAGAAAATGAATAGCCAATAAAAATATTTTGTTTTTGCTTTATGTTTCTTTAATTAAAAAAAAAACCTGCACTGCTGCAGATATTTGGTACATTTGTTTAGTTTGTTCGTTCCTTTATTAATGGCATGTTAAGATATATTAAGGAGAGCAAATAGGGGCTATCTATCCGCCCATTCAATATTCATTGATTTAATAAGTTTTATTTTGAACCTTCAGCTAGCTCATGGGGCAGATCCCTTCCTGAAGAACCAAGAGGGACAGACAGCCCTGGAACTAGCAGGAGCAGACGACGTACGGTCCCTACTGTCAGATGCAATGACGGGAGCGGCTGGCGGTTCTTCCGAAACGGAGGCTGTGTCCGTCCCCACAGCCTCGCTCTTACCCCCACCACAGCTGCCGGTGCTCTTGCCCAGTGGGGATACAGTGCCACTTCCGCTACCGGTAAGTATATACAGTGTAAATTCTTTATAACGAATTTCAGCATTTCCTTTCGTTATATGGAGTGAGTAGAAAATAAATCAAATTTAACCAATTACAATAATTTCTAATTTTATTACTATCAATAGATGAATTATTTTTTTTACTGGCCATCTTGACAGTTTCAAAGTTTGACTACGACTGATAATTACGATAGGTGACGGTGGTGCGTTTAGTGACTGAGACCAAAATTCCCTACAGGCAATGTAATCTAAGAATAATGGCACACGTGTTAATGCAATTAACAATAACAAAGGCGAGACGGCTGTTTATGACCTCTTTTTGTTTTGTAAGCTGATTATAAAAACAATTACAATTCAGTATGTTGTTGATGTCTAAATATGAAAATATTTCTTCGTTATATAGAATAGCTGACCGTTATAAAGAAGGAATTAATGTATGGGGTTTGCGTTGAACCAAACAAATATAACAAAACACGTTATAGAGAGTTTCGTTATAACGAATTACCTTAAAGAGAGCATGACTATTAATTTAAATTTATGATGTCTTTATAACTGTTCAGTAGTCTTCGAATATATTTGATACAAACATACATATTTTTATAATAATACTAGCTGGTAAACGTCGTTTTGCTGTTATCTATACTAAAAAATAGGGGTTGTATGTATTTTTGTATGCTGTATCATAATAAAATTAAAAAAAAAAATCTAAAAAAATCAAAATTAAAATTTTGGGGTGGGACCACCCTTAACATTTAGGGGTTTGAAAGATAGTAGCCTATTCTCAGACTTACTGAATATGCATAAAAATTTTCATAAGAATCGGTGGAGCCGTTTCGGAGGAGTATAAGAACGAACATTGTGACACGAGAATTTTATATATATATAGTGACTATAAATATATTCCTCCAGGTAATGGCAAGCAATTACTGGTCGGAGGGATCAAGAGGAAGCTTGGAAGACGCAGCAGGTAGACCTGCATCAGCCCTCTCCACTTCTGAATCTCTGCAAACGTTTCTTACTAGGTAAGTCATTCTCTTTTCGCTTTAGAGTCTGCAAGCTTTCTTGAATTTGATTCACGATTTGTCAATCTAATAGGCAAGCAGGTGATCAGTCTCCTGTGCCTGGCTGCGTCGACTTTTGGGTCTAAGACAAGCCGGTTTCCTCACGATGCTTTCTTTCGAGTGAATGTTAAATGCGCAGAAAGTCCCATTGGACTCCACAGACGGAGATCAGATCTAAGATCTCAGGGATGAGAGTCGCATGCTGAAGCCACTAGGTCAACACTGCTCTTTTTATTTATTATTTTTTTTTAGAAGAAAAATCTGAAATAAGAATTGTGAAGTAGTGAAAATCTGTTTAAAAAAGTGCGTGCGTACAAAGTACACATGTCAGAAGTGAAACTTCTTTGGCAAACTAATTTTTAACTCTTTTCATATTTATACAAATCTAAAACTTGAGATTTCCGAAACTTGGAGGGAGGGAAAACGAATTCTTCACGAAATTTTAATTTAAAAATACAATTTCTATAAAGTAATTCGCCCTTCTCACTCTCTCTCTCAATCGCTCTCTCTCTCACGACAAAAACGCTGCACATCTTCGTGACGCATATATTATTATGTAATAATAAGTAAAAATTTTACCCTCATGCGCCTAAAGAAGTTTCACTTCAAAAATCTATTAACGTAAACTGGTTTAGCTTTAATAACGTCATCAACACGTAAACTACCTATGGATTACATTTTTTTAAATGAAAGTTTCACACTGTTTTTGACTGACCACAATATAATTGATGATTTTCTTCCGAATCCCTTGACCTTGGTTATACTTTATTTTTTGAAGTTATACTTAATTTTACGATGCGCGCGCACCGTGACACAAAATTAACAGAATGCACACGGAAGATGCTACGGCATTGGACATAATTTAAAAACAACATTCGAATATTAATAGAATTTATGTTACACTTAATGTAAGAGAATAATAATAAATATTTATTTATTTAATTTTTCAAATGTAAACTGAACTTTATTGACTATAATGACTCCTTTTCCAGTCTTTGATTATTTAATTGTAATTAATTATTTGCATGCAATCAAAAACTATTTTTAATAATGCCAAAGAAGTATAACTTCTTACGCGCGTACATAAGTACACGCACCCTTTTTTTTTAATTCGTATAGGTTCGTTGACTTATAAATTAAATATACCTAATTGACTTTTTCAGCATCGGTCTAGAGCAGTTGGCGACGGTGTTGGAAAGAGAACAGATCACGGTGGACATTCTCTCGGAAATGTCTCATGAGGATCTCCGGGCGATAGGCGTGGCTGCCTACGGGCACAGACACAGATTGATGAAGGCAGCCAGGCACAGTCTCCAATCGCACTCCGGTAAGGTCTAACCCTCACGAACTAATCAAGAACTGTCAATTCGTTTGACATTTGACAGCGCTTCACGACACTTAACTGTCAAAATCCAATAGATTTCTGACATACGGGAGTTGGAGTGTTCTATCAAACTTAAGTTTCAGGAGCTGTCAATTTGTCTGTATGACATTTGACAGTGCATAGGATTAAGAGGAAATTGTGACTTGATACCTTTTGGAATGGGTTTAAGGTCCACGGGGTAATAATGGGGGGGGGATATCTTTGATTTTCTTATTTGTTGATTACGTCAACAGTAATTATTTACTTTTTTTACACATATTACCCACACATTGTCTATGCTTGAAAACGAAATGCATTTTCGAGTGAACGTGGTGATTGGATCACTATCTATACGACTCGACTCCCGGTGGGGGTCTTCCCTGAGATACTACCTCCAACTATTCAAAGTTAGAGTGTACTCCTCCCAGAAAGGCCGGCAACGCACCCACTAAAAATAGGTGTCCATGGGCTGTGATGACTGCCCTTTTTGGGTGTCTCGTAGGCTCGTTTGCTCCCCTATTATTTAAAAAAAAATCGGCTCCGTTAAAACGTGTCAGGGCCTCCTACGGGCCTGTTTTGTCAGGAAGAGGTAATAATTGATGCCACGATCTTGGTGTGACTTCCCATTATATAGAAGCCGCGCGCTTCTATGTGTGCGTGTACGTGTACGTACGTACGCTAACGTGAGTCTGTCGTTACAATCTCTTATTTAATTGTAATTTTCAGAATGGTACGGTGGTACGACCCTCGTGGATGTGGCATGTAGCGCCGGGGAATGTGGGGACAGTGAATATGTGATAATAGAGAGAGAGATGCAGGCCTCGGTGCGAGCTCATCGTGATCACGCCGGTGGACACTTCACCAGATACAACGTTGTTAGGGTGAGTAGAACACTTTTAAGCTATTGCATAGATTTTATCGCGGGCTTTGAGCGCGGCGACCGAATCAAGAAATTCCGTAACGAATATAAACCTAACACACGATGACGTAATATAGGTGCGGTTACGATCAATCAGAGCAGAGGATCTTGACTTTGGACAGTGCTTCAAGGAACGCAGTACTGATTGGGTATTCAGTGAAGTGGTGATGAGAGGTTGGACCGACTTGGGTCTTTGTGATTAAAAGTGGGATCGGTGCCACCAGCTGCTCGTTATTTGAGCTAAAGTGTTATTTCTAGTGTTAAAAGGAAATCTAAATATGTTATTTTTCTGAATTTTCTAGATACAAAAAATTGTGAACGGCCGCCTTTGGGAGCGTTACGCGCGTAGACGCAGCGAGGTGACTGAAGAGGCGGGGGTGCGAGTGAACGAATGCTGTTCCACGGGTCGCCGTTCATCAATGCTATCGTTCAGAAGGGATTTGATGAACGACACGCTTATATTGGTGAGAAGTTTATGATTATACTACAAAAAAAATCTTTGTTCTAAAGTATTTTTCAATTTATGCACAAAAACAAAAATTTAATACTTTTTTGGTAATAGTAATAATACTCATTTATCAATTTTAAAACATTGAAAAATAACGCGCGATCAGAGTGGGGTTTTTGCGTACAGGGAGCGTTCAAGTATTACGTAACGCGTTTTGGGAAGGGGGGGTAAAACGTTACGATGCGGGGCGGGGATTGAATTACGCGTAATTGTTAATATTATTTTCGACTTCACCACATAATAGTAACTAAAGAGACATAAGGTGGTCACGAAACGTTTTACTATACTTGGGTACAGTACTGTACTTGGGTACTGAAAAACGTACGGCGAGATACATGGGGGGGGGTCAATAGTCTCCAAAAATTGCGTTACGTAATACTTGAACGCTCCCACACGTACACGAACGTGTTACACAACAATCAGGTGTAACAAATTAGGTCAACAAATTAAAAACTATAGATTTAGTAATATATTTCTACTAAATTCAAAAACGTTTTCATGTAATATTTTACCTGTAAAATATTAAAGTAAATTTTGAGTTCAGTTAAGTTGCTGTGTTGGGGGGATTTTTAAATAAATTAAACTCTTTGTTTGAAGCTAAGTCATCAGTCAAAAATGATTTCTAACAGAGGTATACTAAAAAATTTAAAAAAAAAGTGTGTGCGTGTAACCTTTACGCGCGATGAAGTAAAACTTCTTTGGAGTTGACGGCATATATCACTGAAATGATTAAATATTAACTTAAATAATAAATATCATATTATAATTTAATTATATTTATTATTCAAAGATTAATTTACTTCTTCCATTATGGTATAATACGAAATTAAGCGAAAAAACTGGCCGTATGTATAACAAAAGAAAAGCAAGCTAATATGGGAACCTTCCCTCTTTAGTGGAAGTTTAATTTTGTTACATGTTACTAGTATGGATTTTCATTTTAAATATAAATATACTAATAATTACAAGAATCAGTATCAAATAAAACGAGTGAATGCTATCCTAAATAAACACTTCCAAGAAACTGATTTAAATCAGTTTAAATAATTCACCACTAGATGGCGCTGACGGACTTATAAAACGCGCTATCGTTGTTATTTTTAAATAGCGGAAACTACACAGACTAATAGTAAGCGTTACTTCCGTCAGAAAAAAATCTGAGGTACTCCCTAGTCGCGCCTAAAGTACTTCAAAAATTTCAGGTGGAATGTTCGGCGCTGGAATATACTTTGCCGAACATTCGTCGAAGAGTAATCAGTATGTTTATGGCTTCGGCGGTGGATCCGGCTGTCCGGCCCACAAGGACCGGAGCTGCTATCTCTGTCATAGGTGAGTATTGAAAATACAGAACTAAAATTATTTTAATTTATTGGAAACTTTGCGGCCATAGATTATATTAATTAAAAATAAATTGTGCGTGTACTAGGTGTACACACGTAAGAAGTGAAACTTCTTTATGATCTTATTTTTCGAAAAATGATCTACTATATGCAACTTTACAGAAATTCGTTAAATTAGATAAAGTTTAACAAAAGGCTTTTATTATCATAGACATGAATACAAATATTTCATTTTACCTTATTACTACGAAGATTATTATAGAATTTCATTAATTGTAATAGAATTATTACTATCATTGAAAAACGTGACGATTTGCTACAAAATTTCTCCCATACGTCGATAAAGAAGTTTCATTCCAACGCCGATAAAGAAGTTTGACTTCAAAAAGCAACATGGCGCGTCACCGAAAAATGTGACGCGTAACGAAAAAATGACTACTAAATTTTTTTCCAACCTCGATAAAGAAGTTTCACTTCAAAAAAGGATTTTTTTTAAATATTGTCCACTGTTTGCATATGTTTTAATTGAAAGAAAACCCTTTTTTACCGGATTGAAGTTATGTATTACTATAAATTTACAATTATTTTAAGCATAGACAATTTACCACACTGTTGACGTAATCACCAAATAAGAAAATCAAAGAGCCCCCTCTCCCCTATAGTGCTTACGTAATAAAGTACGTACAAATTGGTCTGCCACAGATAAAAAAAGGGTGCGTGTACTTATGTACGCGCGTAAGAAGTTATACTTCTTTGGCATTATTAAAAATAGTTTTTGATTGCATGCAAATAATTAATTACAATTAAATAATCAAAGACTGGAAAAGGAGTCATTATAGTCAATAAAGTTCAGTTGACATTTGAAAAATTAAATAAATAAATATTTATTATTATTCTCCTACATTAAGTGTAACTTAAATTATATTATTATTCGAATATTGTTTTTAAATTATGTCCAATGCCGTAGCATCTTCCGTTGGCAACTTCATTCTGTTAATTTTGTGTCACGGTGCGCGCGCATCGTAAAATTTCACTCTCATCAATTTTTCATAACGCGCCTGAAGAAGTATAACTTTAAAAACTATTTTGTACAAATTGTATTTCGTTTCAGACAAATGCTGCTTTGCCGTGTAACATTGGGGCGGGGCTTTCAACTGGCCACTGCGATGAAGATGGCCCACGCCCCGCCGGGGCATCATAGCGTTGCCGGCCGTCCCACTACCGGGGGCCTGTGTTACCCCGAGTACGTTGTTTATAGAGGGGAACAGGTGAGTGTTTATTCTGGTTCTCTTACCTTCTGAGCATACCAGCTCGAAGAATTGTTTGTAAGTAAATAATATACATACACTTTCTTCCTACAAAACCTAGGTTTTATTAACAAACAATATATGCAGTGTTGCCCTAGTGGCTTCAGCATGCGACTCTCATCAATGAGGTCGTAGGTTCGATCCCCGGCTGTGCACCAATGGACCTTCTGTCTATGCGCACTTAACATTCGCTCGAACGGTGAAGGAAAACATCGTAAGGAAACCGGCTTTAGACACAAAAAGTCGACATGTGTCAGGCACAGGAGGCTGATCACTTACTTGCCTATTAGATTTGAAAATGATCATGAAACAGATTCAGAAATCTGAGGCATTTTTTTAATAAAACCTAGGTTAATAGGTTATACTAATAGTAACTGAAAAGCTATTTATTATTCACAAATAAACATACACTTTCTTTCGTCATATTGACGAATCGTAGTAATCACAATCCGTTGGATATAGAAACAATAATTGGCTAAATATATAGTACATACATCATTTATTCATTTAGGTAACACAATGTACACTTATGAACGTCAAAATCAAATACATTAAATGCTTCTAATTTTACATTTACTGCCAGTTCTCAAATCAAGAAAAGGGCGTAGAACGGAAGAGAAGAACTGGCAATAAACTCTCCGCCGTTTTACACCATGTTCTACATGACATCTTAAGTAATTAATAATAAAATAATAATAATTCACAAAAATACATACACATATGCAGTACTAAGCCAATAAAGTCGAAATTAAATATATAATATTGAATATATAAGATACACAATATCGCTGTGAACTCTGCGAACATATAAATATGTCGAGAGTCAGAGACAGCAATCAGCACCCAGTAGGCAACGTCTATAACGGGGATCTGTACAACAGATTCTGGCCCTTGGTGTCGCATAACTCCTAAGGTCCCTAGGTACAAAGAAACCGAATTCTTGGAGAACACTTGGGTTGCTCTTCAGCGTCAAGGCTTTAAGTAGATAATGGGCCTATTCAGAAATAAATTTCACTTAAAATAATTTTTTGTCTCTGGAAATTAAATTCTTTTGTTAATAAATGTTGAATAATACCCCTAAGTTTTTTATACTTAAAAGTTACCATTATGTGGTGTAAAGTATTGGAAAGTCGAAAACAATATTAACAATAACGCGTAATTCAATCCCCAACTCGCATCGTGACGTTTTACAAAAGGACCCCCCCAAATTCGTAATGTAATACTTGAACGCTCGAAGTTTATTCCCCAATGTTCTGTGATGAAAGGTCTAATGAAGATTTATTTTTCAGGCGTACCCCGAATACCTTATAACGTATCAAATAGTCTGCGAAGAGGAGCCACAAGGTGACGTATAGGTGACAGTTTGACGTTAAATGTCAGTATTGTAGTTAATGACATGTGTCAGTTCCTCTAATATTGCCAGTGCAAAACCGATAAGCATAATTTGGTCGTGAATTGTTCGTTAGGTATTTTGTAACGAAAAAATAAAGTTTCACGAGATGACCTATGTAAAATTGACAGAAATGTCAAATGTCATTTAAGCGTTGTATAATTTTTTAAATGTTAGACATGAAAATGTCAAAATTTACCAATAAAATGCAACTTAAATGTCAATCACTTTTTCATTTGAATATTTGAATATGTCTTGCAGTCTATCAAATGTCAGTATTCTAATGACATAATGTCAATGCCAATTGAACGAATGTGAATTGTATGTAATGTATTTGACAACGCAATTTTCTTAAAAGTATTACGAGACGAGCGATGTAATTTTGACAGAAATGTCAAATGTCATTTAAATCCTACGCTCTATATAATTCTTTAAATGTGAGATATGAAAATGTCAAATTTTTCAAAATTTTATGTCACACTTTTTCATTTGAATATTTGAAGATGTATTGCTTTAAAGTCTGACAAGTGTCGGTATTCTAATGACTTGTCAATTTAAAAATTCTAATGGCATATGTCAATGTCAGTATTCTAATGACATCTAATGACATTCAATTGAAGGCAAGTTTCATTTTGGATAAGGAAGGCTTTCTTTGTAATAAACCTCTGCTGGTAAAAAAAGAATCATGCGTACTTGCGGTACGTTTGCGGTGCAATGCCGTCTAATAAATTTGACGTTTCATGTCAATTTCACATAATGACATATGTCAGAATGTGTTGTGTTAGTTAGGAATTAATTTTGATCCTTGCTCAGAGGTTTTTGGTTCAAAACCCGCTGATTTTTATTTCTCCTTTACAAAAACCACCTATTTTGTGAATTTAGACTTTTATAAATTTCGAAACGGACACAAAACTGTGTCTAAAGTGAGTGTTGGAACGTGTAAATATTAAAAGCCAATTGAAAGGTTGTTATACTGTTTGTTAAATATAGGAATCGTGTTCAATTGAATCTACAATTGTAGATTTTCTCATATCTAAGATGTTTTTGTTCGGTATCTTGTATATAGGGTGTATTTATAGTCCAAGCCAAAATATCGATAGTTTTGATTTACGTGAATCAAGTGGCGTTAGAACCTTACAAAAATAAATTTTAATAGAACAGCCTAAAATGCCAGAAAATGATAGCCTACACTCACTGCCAGGCTCACAAATGCGTTGCCGGCTTAAGAGTCAGTAGGCTTTTGATTCTGGAAGAAAAGTGGAAGGAGTTTAAACGCATGACCCCACACGACAGCTTTGGCAGTTTTTAAAATACACACTAGCCTTAGGAAAACTTAGCCCCAAACAGAGGACGGCGTGTGATACAGAAGACTGATCTATTTGTCTACAGAAATCTGAGGCCCAGACCTAAATTGTATCGTCATTGGTATTATATCTTTACACCTTGTTTTTGACTTTCTAACAGTTTTGGCTTGGTCTATGACGGCAAAATAGCAAAGTTAATATCCAAAATCAATAGTTTTGGATCACCAACACTGATGTGTTACGGCCCATTAGTACAGGTTGTGCATGAAAAATGATTTAAAAAAAAATATATTTTTATTGTTATTGGTATTCCAACTCTTAGAAGTTATGAACGTAAAATTTAAAAAAAAGCCGCTTTTAAATAGTATTTTTATTAGTATAATTCAATTGAAGTTTTGCGATATTTACACCCTATATACTCTATACTGCGTTATAGACTTACGCTCTGTTTATATTAAAAATACGAGTCGTTGTTGCTACGGGTCGTTTTATTGTGAGCCTCGTGCGTTAATACGGTCCTAGTGTAATATAGCCACATATAATAAAAAAAAGAAATTTGATAAAGACGTAGCATACTTTACGACCTATCAAATATATAAAAATTCATAAATATCGGTCCAACCGTTCTGGAGGAGTGCGATCACAAAAACTGTAATTTCTATATTTACTACGACTCGTGGCAGCTTCTAACTTTGATATCAAAACTTAAATTTCATTTTACGTTCGCGTACGTATACGTCGTACGTTCGTACGTATACGTCGTACGTTCGTACGTTCGTACGTATGGTCGTCGATTTTAGCTTTAGAGATTGAAATATAGGAAGAGATAGTGACAATATGGAAAAATGAGAAGGAGTATGACGAGCTGACCGCCAACCTCCAGTAGTGGAGAGGCACTTCAAGAAGAAGAAGAAGAGATAGTGTTGGAAATTGAAAGAATACGAAGTTCAGCTCAAAATTTAAACCTATGGGAATTGCAGACTACAGACGCTGCATTATTTTCGTTACGCGTTACGTTCTTATGACCTGGCTTTTGGTGAACTAAATTTACGTGGTTGCTTTCATGATACAAAAGCCAAGCAATGAGTGCGTAAAACTCGTACGTACGTATGGCCTCCAAAGTTCATACGTTTCACATGTATACGAGTACGTATTCATTCGTACATCTACGTATTCGTACGTGTACGTATTCAATCGTGTACGCATTAGTTCATCTACGTATTCGTACGTGTACGTATTCAATCGTGTACGCATTAGTTCATCTACGTATTCGTATTCGTTCATTCGTGTACGCATTAGTTCATCTACGTATTCGTACGTGTACGTTTTCATTGGTGTACGCATTCGTTAGTACGTATTCGTTCGTGTACGCATACGTCTTTCAAGCGTAAATCTCTTAGTAAATTGTCTTTTAATGTGAAATAGAATAATTTTGTCCTACAATTTAGACTAAGCAGGCATTCTAAGCTATTGCTTATTCAATTTTTAAGCTGTTGAGAATGTTATTTATAATTATGTATTGGGTCAAATAAGTGTGGCATAGAATGTTTGAATAGGTGAATGTGTCTCAATGGCGCGTGTGTAGCGGTTTTTGATATTGTATATATGTCGGAATAATTGTATTAAAGTGAATTTTTACAAATGTTTTTTATTTCATTTACATTACAAGACGTATATACTGTTACGAGCTAGGGGATCGGATAGAAACGCCGTAGATTTCTTCAAGGGTTTATTTTCAATTAAATCTACGAGGAATTTGTTGACACTAAAAACTGGAAATTACGCACAAAAATTCACTAAATACACACACAGAATACTGTCACTAATTACTTTAATTACACGCACTTCACACAGTACTTAATCGCTTGTCTTCACTATATTCGCACTTTGTCACTTCGGTGTTTATCTCTCGATCTCGCATTCAAAAACTGAACTAACTGATCGCGTTTCGGCTCGCTTATATATCCCTGGGAATAGTCTTGCAAGTTCGAGAACTCTCTAGGCGGGAGCGCGACTGAGTAGCGATCGCACAATTCTAGAACGTGCGTACTCGCTATCTCTCTCGCACATTGCTCCGTCCTTGTCGTACGGTGTTCTTGAGTGCTCGGTCTAGTTTCGAGAAGGTTCCGATCTTCCGTCTCTCTCTCGCATCATTCCGTCCTTGTCCCACACCTAGAAAATTCGTTCTGGACTATTCCTTCATCAAAGGGGTATAACCAGGCCTGAAAACGGGGTTCCTGAAAAGTGTTCCACTCGACTACGCTTGATCTGAAACGGCCTGAAAAAAATTCAGACTCCTCAAAACTAGGGTAACATTATGTGAATTACGATTTTCTAATATGTGATTGACCCTCTCCTGAAACGGTCAGAAATCACATTTCAGCCTGCTGAAAAGTTCTCTAAGTAGTGGAAAAATCAAGAAACATTGTAGTCGACCCGTCTTCGTAACAATACAAACATATGTCGGAGCAATGGCGCTGATATTATTATATTTATAAAGACTATCAAATTGTCGTTGATTTGTAGATCTATTAATATTGGCAAATAAAATAAACCATGTAACTGTTTTGAATTAATTGACTTTGATGTTATTAAATTAAAATGAAAGTAGCAACTGATACTGGCGCCATTGCTCCGACATATATTTAAAGTCTAAAGGAAAAGTAGCCGTGGCCTAGTGGAGAAAATTATTATCTATATTGTGGATGAGAGCAGTATTGGCCTTGTGGCTTCAACGTGCGACTCTGGTCCTAAGTTCGATCCCCGGCTGTGCACCAATGGAAATTCTATCTATGTGCGCATTACACTCGCTCGTCTGAAAACATCGTGAGGAAACCGGCTTGCCCTAGACCCAAATAGTCCGCGTGTGTCAGGCACAGGAGGCTGATCACCTACTTGCCTATTAGATTGACAAATCATGAAACATACAGAAATCTGAGGCCCAGACCTAAAAAGGTTGCGCCGCTGATTTATTTTTATTGTAGAGGTCAAGTTTGTGAGGTTGGAGGGGGTAATCTCTGGATCTACGTAAGATATTATATAATCTACTTTCTACGAACACGTCATTTGTGACTGTCATAAGCTTATCGACGCCGAACTTCACGACCAACCAGGCTCCAGAAGATAAACCACTCCTTATATGGAAATTGAATTCGTTTTTACAACAAACTCCTAAGCGAAATTAGAGAATTATCACTAAATAAATTCAAAGCTCTCGTTACACGTAAATTAATCAATAAAGCTTTTTATAAATTTGACGATTATTTAAATTATTGATTTGCTCCGGTTCCTCGCTCCTTGGCGATTTAAAAGTTGTAGAGTGGCAGAGAGTTTTTTGCCAGTTCTTCTTGCCCGCTCTACGCCTTTGAATTGCGATCTGGTAGTAAATGTAAATTTAGAATCAATTCAACATTTATCTGTTGACGTTCAAGTGTACTTGGTTACGTATATGAATAAAGATACTTTGAGTTTGAGTTTAAAATTAAAAATTAAATTTTGTGGTGAAAAAACGGTCGAACGTTTTCTTACGAACACTGCTTTAACGATGAGAGATATTATTGAGTTCTAGAGAAAAGTGATATGAAAATACCTTAATTTAGCGACAGAATTACTAAGTTTTATATTAGGTATATAAAAACACTGTGTCTGTCATATATATCTA